CAGTAGCAGTAGCAGTAGCAGTAGCAGTAGCAGTAGCAGTAGCAGTAGCAGTAGCAGTAGCAGTAGCAGTAGCAGTAGCAGTAGCAGTAGCAGTAGCAGTAGCAGTAGCAGTAGCAGTAGCAGTAGCAGTAGCAGTAGCAGTAGCAGTAGCAGTAGCAGTAGCAGTAGCAGTAGCAGTAGCAGTAGCAGTAGCAGTAGCAGTAGCAGTAGTAGACTTTCTTTTGATAGGTTTCTTTCAGAAAAAGAAAGACAATTATAAAGAGTTACAAAAAATTCTATAAAAATTGTAAACCTTGGCATTAAAAATGTTTCACTTCCTATTAAAAAATATAAATAGTTGTACGTTGTAGCACAATGAAACACACCCGGACTGTTACGCCGAAAACTCGGGTTTGAATCCGGTATCGCGAAAACGTTTAAAAAATATGAAAAATTTTCTAAAAAGTTATACATATAGGAATTGTGAAAAATTTGAAAAAATATATAGAAATTCTCAAAAATTGTACAAAGAATTTAAAGAAAAATTATCGCTAGGGCAAAAGCCGTTTGAATTAATATTTAATGGTTAAGCAAACAAAATGGGGGAAGTGTCTGTACTCTTGCTGTTATTTCACATGTTATTTAACATAACTGCTACTTTTGAATTCATACGATTCATCGTTTCGTTTAGTCGTGTAAGAGTATAAATGTATTTTTTTAATTACCGTCCATCGCATCGTTAGCGAACGCCAGTGTTGTTCGCCATAAATCTTGAATACTGAGATTCAAAGTCAGAGCCCAAAGAAATTTGCCGAATGCCGTCATCGTTGTTACGATAGAATTGGATAGACTCCGCGGCGCCGATGACTGATGAGATTCCTGAGGGCTGCAAGTCCCTTGATAATCTATGACGGTCACTTTTCTGAAATACCATATAAAATATCTTAATATCCAAAACCTTACAGCTTGATTTCGGAATATTGCAGCAATGTTTGCGATCCCTCAAACTTATGACGCAATTTCGTTGAGATATTGCAAAAATCTCTATAATTGCAACATTACGGCAATATTTAGCATCGCAAAGAAATATCTTTGTGTATATGCTTTTTGTATTGTTTATTTATTGTATTGTATATACAGGGTGTCATTGAGTATGTCTAAAAAATTAATTCTCTTGCAAGGGATGTAAGGTTGTAATGCGAAATATAATATCACCAAAATCTTTGAAGCCCTTCCATGTAAAATTATGTTTTTTGACTTATGCATTCTTTTTCTTGGCAATTACTAAACCAATTTTTAAAGGTCTTCAAATCTTATCAGGAATGAATAAACTATAATTTGATCGTTTTGATTTTAAAAAATTATTATTTTATTAAAAATTTCGCGATTAAAGTTGCATGAAAGTAATTATTTTCAAATTACAATTGAAATCAGAAAAAAATTATTTTAATAAAAGCATCGATCAAAATGTAGTCAAATATCCGATGATGAAAAAGAGAAATATTAAAATAAGTCGTTTTGCTCTGTGATTTCGTATACACACAGTAACTCCCCTTAACACGAACTTTAAAAAAACAAAGAACCAAAGAACTAATGTTACGTTTTGTTACAGACAAAGACTGGCGAGCTTCCCACACAGCACAGAAAGATTGCAGAAAGATTGCAGAAATGTTACATTGCAAGATTGCAATATTGCAGCAACGTTGCACAACATTGCTGCAACGTTTCTGGAGGATTGCAGCAACGTTGAAATGTCCGTCCTCACCCACACAGCACATGTAGATACTGAGAAAGTTCTGAGAATATCTCAACAGTACATTACGTATATTCTCATAGCTTTCGAATATGTTCTATGATGTACTGAGTACGTACTGAGAATGCACTAATGTCTGCTTTTTCTCATACATAATATGTACTGAAAATATACCAATGGTATATACTGAGGATATTCTGTTGATATACTCGTACCAGAATATCAACAGAATGTTATTTGTAATATGTATCGTATATCATAGGTATATGTATACCCGAGCAGAAATTTTAGTAGGATCCTGATAGGGGCCTAATAAAGATGCCTTAATGCCTGGTCAGGCACTCATCAGGCAGCCCTGACAGGGCCCTGACAGTAAATGTAATGTCGAGAATTAAAATTGCCTGATCAGGTTTTCTTTATCAAGACCTCATAACTTGCCCTTTGTTGTGCCTTACAGTTTCTAATAGGGAGTGGGACATCAATAGGCTTCCTATTAAAAAATTCAATTTGTTAAACTAACTGTTAAATTGTGTTAAATTACATAGTCATTAAAAGTATATTTAGGTTATTGAGGTTTAGCCATGATCCAGACAACTCGCTCTCGCATCGTATCGGCTCGCCTTTTATACTAATACGGGACGATTTTTACTTACGAGAAAGACTAACGCGCGGTCGCCACGTCGCGGTAGTACGTGGTACTAATGCTATCTATTCAGGAGGGAATCAGGCGTACCGGATCAGGCACATGTCTATATTCCGCGTATATCCCATGCACATACGAGAAATAACGTACTACTAAGATATTATACGAATGTTCTCAGTTTATCCTGTATTATCCCAGAACATTCAGTATGAGTACAGAATATTCGAATGATATCATGTGCTGTGTGGGCAGAGAGATTGCAGTGCAACATTATAGCAATGTTGCAGTGCAATATTTTTTGAATAATTTGTTGTTGTTGTTGTACATAAGCAGAGAATTTACTAATTACATATACATCCGGACCTTTTTCAAGGCATAGCAAGCTCTTGCGAAGCAACCTAAGGAGGTTATGTCGCTTCGCAATAGATGGAGATTGCGAGCAACACCGCACTGATCAAGTACTTAATAATTCGCGCATTATTGGTATCAACGAAAATAACATTATAAAATTCTCGTAATTAGAAAATTTTTTTATAGAAAATATAGTATTTTCATTATTTTTGAAACATTGCTGCAATATTGCTATCGAAAGTTTGCAATTTTATATCCCTGCAATGTCTCTGCAAGATTGCACTGTAATCTGCAAGATTGCAACGTTTCTACAATGTAACTGCAACCATCTGTCCTGTATGGGATGTAAATAATTGAGAGATGGTAAAAAAATCAATTGAAATTTAACAGAAAATAAGAAGAGTGATCAAATAAGGCACCAAAATTATAATTTCCAACAAGCTCTGGATGATCTTGTTGATAAAAATAACAAATTATATGCAATTTGATTGTTATAGAGTTGATTGAGGAAAAAATTGAGCTGCCCGTAAGCATGATGAATCTGATCATTTCTAACAGAATTCAAAGAGTAACGAGCGCGTAGGTAGCACGCAAGAAAAAAATGTAGATTTCAATTTAAGAAACTTATAATTATTGGAGAATATTTATTGGAGAAGGAATGATCGCATGTGGTTTTTGACAAATAATCGGAGTTGCAACGAAATTTTTGAAATTCGTGAAGCTTGACATTGGCATAGGAGCTTTCTATTTTCAATAGCACATAATGCAGAATTTTAATTGTGTTTAACAACGTTCCGCATAAACATCTTTATCTATAATTACCTAAATATCCTATCTTGCACCAAAGAATCCATTATAGTTCCATCTATCTCACCGAAAAACTTTCCAGTGTGCTCATGACGTTCGCTTATGATAATGAATCCATTATTATCAAGAATATAACAGTCGAGATCCTCCGAGGCGCAATTCTTTTTACATCCTGTCATACCGGTACACTGAAAAAAAAGGAAATTAACCGAATTTCATATACCGCACAATAATTATGCAGGTGGGGGAGGGAATGGAGTGTTCTACTTACCGTCGAAGTGATGTTCACGAAGTGAGTCGCCAAGGACGTGTGTTGAAATTGCAAACCCACCACCGCAGCTGGTGCTTTGTGACCCCTCCCGATAAATATGGCATGAGTGGCGGTAACGAGTGGATCTAGTGTATCCGCTAATAATTTAACAATCATAGAAATAATTAATATAGCGTAATCGAAGATGTTGTTTATGTTTGACAACATATGATACGTGTGAAAATTGTATTGTTAGCATGGAGAGTTTATTTGAAATTATGTATGTAAAACTTCAGTCTCTCAAGTTTCTTAAATTGTAACGCAATAGAGCATTTTTCAAATCAAAATCATATTAAGGAAAAATAATTATTCCCTTCCTTGACATTCTTAGTGTTGTAACTTCATAATTCTATAATTAAACGATACCCATACAGCACAGATGGTTGCAGTTACATTGCAGAAACGTTGCAATCTTGCAGAGATATTGCAGAGATAAAAAATTGCAAACTTTCGATAGCAATATTGCAGCGATGTTTGAAAATTAATAAAAATACTATATTTTCTATTTAAAAAATTTTTCTAATTACGAGAATTTTATAATGTTATTTTTGTTGATACCAATAATGCGCGAATTATTAAGTACTTGATCAGTGCGGTGTTGCTTGCAATCTCCATCTATTGCGAAGCGACAGAATCTCCTTAAGTTGCTTTGCAACAGCTTGCTGTGTATTGAAATAGGCCCGGATGCATATGTAATTAATAAATTCTCTGCTTATATACAACAACAACAAATTATTCAAAAAATATTGCACTGCAACATTACTATAATGTTGCACTGCAATCTCTCTGAGGGCGGAGAGATTGCAACATTTCAACGTTGCTGCAATATTGCAATCTTGCAATGTAACATTTCTGCAATCTTCCTACAACCTTTCTGTGCTATGTGGGTAAAGTTATAATTTTTAATAATAATATTCAAATAATATTTAACAATGTTTAATATTTTTATATTTTTATTAAGTGTACAATATTACAATATATTACGCAACATTTATATGACAGCTTTAAGTTGCAATGTTTTAATAATTTTCACTTTATAGGGAAAGATACACTTGTGAAAACGACCAAAATATTAAAGTTTTAATACTTAGAAAATGTACATTCTTTGCTGTGCATTTTGAATTTTGCAAAAATGACCTTCAGATAATCTACAAAAGAAAAAGTTGATATCTTCACGTGGATCAGAATAGGCAATACATCTATGACTGCGTAAGTGCCGAGTGAAAATTTCTTTATTACACAGTATTGTTAATTTGTATTATTTACAATCGTAGTGTACTTTTCTGGTATTTATAAGACCAATTAAATAAAAAATATACTAAACCTGTATGCTTTATAAACTAAATTACACATACAGGGTGTTTGACACAAGAGAACCTCTACGAAAAATGGTGGCAGATTGGGTCAGACTAGGAAAAAAAGTCATGTACCATTTTACAAAATTTGCAATAGTTATCAAATAATTTATTGAAATGTCTGAACGAATGAACGCATAGAGAGGTAGGCCAGATAGCTTTATAAACCAGGGGGTCAATTCTGTATCTTACACCATAGTGAAAATGCTAAAAGTGAATGGCTTTGTCTCTTTTTAACCGTCCCCTTTGAAAGAGACAAAGCCGCTCACTTTCAGCATTTTCACTGTATTGTAAAATACAGAATTGACCATTGATCTCCTAGCAACGGTGAGCGAGAGGTGAAGCGACGCGCGACGTAACTCCCGGAAAAAACAGCGAACAATATGTTTACTTCTCATGTCGCTCACCGCTCGCGCTTATTCGCTTAGACGTTTCAATAAATTATTCCGTAACTATTGCGAATTTTGTAAAATGATACATGACTTTTCTTCTTATTGTTAGTCTGATCCAATCTACCATCATTTTTCGTAAAGATCCTCTTGCGTCAGATACTCTGTATAACTGTACAATTGTTATTAAAAGTGATAAAAAGTTCATACAAATAATAAAAATGTCAATGAGATCAATTTTGAATACATGTGGTTAAAAAAATTCAACAAAACACAAGCAAAAGTTGGAGGTTTATTGCACTTTCCGAAATAGTCTTTTGCAAACTTCTGTATCTATTTCGACATACACTCACTTCTACTTTTATGCGGTATTATGTGTTTTGTTGTGTGGCTTTTCTAAATAATAAT